CAACATATTAGATTGCGGCAAACTCTTAATTAGTCACCTTTCACAACATGCGTGCGCACATGTGTGTGTGTGCACATGTGTGTGTGTGTGTGTGCACATGTGTGTGTGTGCACATGTAAACCCCCCCCCCCTCCAAATATATATATATATATATATATATATATATATATATATATATATATATATATATATATATATATATATATATATATATATATATATATATATATTTATTTATATTTATAAAAATTGGGCACTGCAACCCAGGAAGGCAGTACACATGATGAACAACTGCATACATGGACATTTAAACAAGCTCAGTTCAGCATGCAGAAGATACAGTATGAAAATAAATATGATTAAAATTGATCTAGGCAAACCAGTAACATTTCTAGCCGGCTGCATATAGAATCGAATGATACTGGTCTGAAACAAGTTAAAGAATTGAAATATCTAGTAAATATATTCTCATAGGGTGGCAAAATACCTCAGGAATTAGAAACAAGATGTCAAAGGGCCAGCGCACTGAACACTGACACCATTATTAAGACATCCAAACATAATTAGCCAAGAAACAGATTATAAACAGCATATTCACACCAACACTGTGCTACCGATGCCAAAGACTCACATACATAAAATTAACAACTGTGGGATGAGATGCCTGAGAAAAGATGCCAGCTTAAACATCCAAGACTGTTTCATAAATGATAGTATCAGAAAGACTGTGTGAAAATTACCTTGCACCAAATTCACTGTGAAGCAGAAGATCAAATGGTTTCAACACCTTATTAGAATGCAGCTGAGACTGCCAAGATAGGCACAACCCATCAACAGATTTGATGTGAAAGTGACAAGGTGCCAGAAGAAAATATGGACTGATTGCATTCAAGACATTCTACATCCACAAGGAATGACAGTAGCTAGTGCTAGCCACCAAGTGCAGGCCTGCAGACTCATGACACTTCATGGAAACATGATGATGAAGGTTACACCAACATTGGCACTCACTGTTATCCCTGATCTCGCCTTTTGTTCCATTTATCAGTCACTTACTTAAGGCTTGGATATTACTTTTACTGTGTAGTTACTAAAGCAGGCAGATACAGAGCAGGATCATGCTGCATGGAAAACACAAGGGCTCAACAACAGTGCCCAGACTTTGTGTTAGGCAGAGGAAGAAAGAACTTTATCCCGGGTTTTAACCAGTACTGCCATGGACTGTGATTCCCATGCCCCCCCCCCCCCCCCCCCTCACTACAGCACCATTGTTTAAACAGGCAGAAATGTGCCAACAAAGTCTGGCAGCTGATTCTGTCATTTTGTTCAATGTTCTAATATCATGTATGGAGTTGAGGTCAGCACCTCTGGTCTCTCATCAACATAGTTTCTCGTGAAAATCCTGGCTTCTTAAATCCACATTTTTCCTAAAACGCTGCTGGTTTGTTAATTCTTTGTCTAGTTAATTTCAGAATGTTATGAATGCTACCTACCTTCTGCTGTCATGTTTTTATCACAAGCAGCAATACATGTAATCAGACTAGAGACAAGTCTGTACTGTTTCAATCTTGACAGGATTTTAGCTACAAGTGTCTTCTGCTAGAACTGGAACCCTTACTGCCAAAAGAATAAAGGCAAACTAAAAAAAATAAAAAAAAATTGCATCTTTCGTGACAGAACCAGCTGCTTATTTTCTTTCTGTCGTATGTGTGTTGGGTTATCTGCGCACCACTCGAAACATGTTCACAGGTGCTCAATTCTCCCCTCAATATACAGCAGTGTCCTGTACTGTGGTTAATTATGCCAACATTATGCTTGTTGATAAGACCTTTCAGGCTTCTAGTGTGTCTATGGTGGTTAACTATGTTGATCTTTACTCCAAAATCTGTCATTTTTAGCAGAGATGTGACACACTGCCCCTCAGTCCTCTCTGAAGGGACTGATAATGGAAAGTCTAGGCTGGCACAAGCAAATAACACAATCAGAGATGGGTCATGCTTGCAAACACTAGGGAAAAAAAAAAGCTGGGAACCAAACAAGCAGATACACTGGCTGGTTCTCCACCACTGGCTGGTTCTCCATGACTGGCTGGTTCTCCATGACTGGCTGGTTCTCCACGACTGGCTGGTTCTCCACGACTGGCTGGTTCTCCACCACTGGCTGGTTCTCCACCACTGGCTGGTTCTCCACCACTGGCTGGTTCTCCACCACTGGCTGGTTCTCCACCACTGGCTGGTTCTCCATGACTGGCTGGTTCTCCACCACTGGCTGGTTCTTCACCACTGGCTGGTTCTTCACGACTGGCTGGTTCTCCATGACTGGCTGGTTCTCCATGACTGGCTGGTTCTCCATGACTGGCTGGTTCTCCACCACTGGCTGGTTCTCCACCACTGGCTGGTTCTCCACCACTGGCTGCTGACTTAATTCCTGACATGCTAGATGTGGCCAAGGCCCTTTAAGAGCAAGTGAACAATATGGGAGCACAAACAGATCATCACAGTGTGGAGAGAGTGATGAAGTTAGGGGTAAGCAGGGGATTTGGCCATCACTACACTCAGGCAAAAGGCAAGATGGCCACAGAATCAATCTGCTTTTGGTACTATGGGAATTGGAACTCTGAGCAGGCTGCTGAAGATAGGGATGGAGCTCTTACAGGAATGCGCTGTGTGCTGCAATGCTGGTTCCTAACTAAAAACATATATACTAAATGTAAATAGAATGTGTGAGCCATGGTAGAGTACTGACCAGATGCTCGCTTGGGTTCAAATCCACCATGCTAAACTTGGCCTTGGCTTCCAGCATAAAATCAGTGCCAGGTAATGTCCTAGGAAGTCAAAGCAGCTGGCATGATGTTAAGCAGAACACTCACTAAGTGCCGACTGGCCATACAAGAATGAGTACAACACCCACTAAGTGCCGACTGGCCACACAAGTATGAGTACAACACCCACTAAGTGCCGACTGGCCATACAAGTATGAGTACAACACCCACTAAGTGCCGACTGGCCATACAAGAATGAGTACAACACCCACTAAGTGCCGACTGGCCATACAAGAATGTGTACATCTTATGTCTGATGTACACTGGCGTAAACAAAAGGACTTCTACCTTAATTTTACCAATACAATTAAACATATTTATAAAATATATTCATAATCACACAACAAAAGTGATGGTAACTTAAAGACAAAGGCTTTGAAACCACTGGTAAGATAAGGCACACAAACTTAAGGTTTGCACACATTTCTTTTTGGGAAAAGAACAATAAAAGACATCTGACCATACACAAAAATGTCTGGGTAACATCTGCATGGGAAAATTACAACTAAAACTATATGACACAAAAAATTTGCTGAACAATACAGAACCAGAAGACAATTTTTACAAGAACTGATATGAAAACACACACATAACACAAACACGAGAGATCTTTCTGAATATATGCCATCAGGACGTGTGTTTTAAAAATAACAGAATCAAGTTCAACATTACTCCAGCAATCTTTACTTCACAGATTATTAATTGGTATCCATTTTAGGATGAGACGACTTGGGAGCCAAGGTATCATTTTGATAACAAATCTGCCTCAAGGCAGACTTAACTCCAGACTTTCAGGCTGGGAGCCAAGGTATCATTTTTATAACAAATCTGCCTCAAGGCAGACTTAACTCCAGACTTTCAGGCTGGGAGCCAAGGTATCATTTTTATAACAAATCTGCCTCAAGGCAGACTTAACTCCAGACTTTCAGGCTGGGAGCCAAGGTATCATTTTGATAACAAATCTGCCTCAAGGCAGACTTAACTCCAGACTTTCAGGCTGGGAGCCAAGGTATCATTTTGATAACAAATCTGCCTCAAGGCAGACTTAACTCCAGACTTTCAGGCTGGGAGCCAAGGTATCATTTTTATAACAAATCTGCCTCAAGGCAGACTTAACCCCAGACTTTCAGGCTGGGAGCCAAGGTATCATTTTGATAACAAATCTGCCTCAAGGCAGACTTAACTCCAGACTTTCAGGCTGGAAGGCAAGTGTTTAGCTGCTAAGCTACCGTGGCTCCCACTGGACGGTAGTGATGATGTTAATTTAATAAGACATCATGAGGGATTATAGACAGGGATGGTTGGGGCATTTACAAGAAGAAAAAAAGATAACAGAGAGACAACATCTGTGTATACAAAAAAACCGAATGTGAGTAGACCACAAGGCAGACCAGAAAGATGGAGAGACAATATACAGGCAGAGCTGCAAACACCTGGAATTACCAAATGGAAAAAGAAGGGTAATCACAGAGACTGACAGAGGCGGTCGTTATCTGCAGCAATAAACTTCAAGGGCTTGGAATACTGAAAAAGATCTCTTACCGACCTCAGCAGTGAGCTCACAGTATAGTATATAAAGAAACAGCAGGAGACCAACCTTTTGGCCCTATCCGAGTTCATCAGAGTTCACACTAAAAATGTGCAAAAGGGAAAGGATGCTCATCTTCTTTACATACCCTGAAAAGACCAGCTGGCCCCTTGTGTTGTGTCTTACAGCCATCCTGTGATATCATCTTTGGGCCCAAAACATCAAATTTCAGAAAACCCCTCATTAGTTGCCTTTTACAATATGCCTGTTAGGGGACATTATGTCTATTTTTTCTTCACTTCAGATTGGGGCCCCAAAAGGCACAAAGGGACTCAGAGGTGCTGACTTCAGTGTATTGTGTGATATCCCATATGACTGCTCATCTAGTAGAATGCTATGAGACTCCACAGATATCTGAAACATCAGCACTTGCGAACCAAGAAGTCAGAAATCAAAAGCACAACATATTCAGCGTAGAATTAACTACTCTGACATGGAGACTTCCATCTATTCACCAATTCTCTCATAGAAAACACGGATAATCTCAGCAGCCACATCTGTCACAGCTATGAAGGTTACAACGAGCATTCTTTGATCCACACAAATATCAACCCTTGTACACATCCCGCCCCTTCCTTCTAAAAAGTTCAACTAGGATTCACTGTAGCCATCTGTCTCCTCAATATGTCCATCATCACTGCTGATACAAATGTTCCCCTGACCTCGGGATGATGCTGACTCTTGACCTTTGACTTTTGGGGGACGTAGTGTGCAGGGCAGCAACTCTCTGAGAACTGTGTGGTGGGTGACTAGAGCTGTCAGAGATGACCATTCCTTGTCCAAGCCCTGTGCAGATTCAAAGCCACAAAATCATGCCAACAATTAACTGACCAACCCAACACAGACAGTATCAAACCCCTCAGTTTCAAGTCTATCCAGTCTTACAGTTTACAGATGATCAAATCACAATCTATAAAATCACTCAGTTTAAAGTTTCAAATTACAGTTTAAATTCTTATCCAGGGCACAAGAACAGAAAATAAATACACATGAAATGTGCTGTCTCTGTAAGGTCACTAACAACACAAGAAGGGACAGTGTTATGAATACCAGCATAAGAAAGCAAGTTGGAAAAAGACCTTGTCTGGTTTATACTGACAGATTAACTAGTGAGATTACAGCTAGGCCAAACTGCAGGTGAGATTTTTTACAGCAGAAGATCTGGGAGAAAGGTAAACGGAAGACCAAGAAAGAGATGGATAAATGTAGCTGAAACATGCAAAAAGATGAATAAATCAATCACCAAAGCCATCTGAGAAGCACAAGACAAATAAAGAAAAACCACAACATGAATTACAATATAGAGGACTAGGTGTGGTAGTAGAATATTTAGCTGCAAAGTTATTTTTGCTTCCGACAGCGCTTTGCTAATGCAGTTTCCACATATGGAAATGTATGGTTTCGCTACCTGAGTGTAGTGCTTTCTGCAGCACTGTGAGCTGTTTTTCAGGGTGGAATGGCTTTTATTTGTGTTGCGTGTGAATCGTGGTATTCAATATGGCCGGTATCCAGTTCATGTGTGGGCTGGTGAAATACCTTATTCCGTATGTAATAATTTTACATTGGTATAGCCAACTTATTGTGTCCAGCTACTTCCATCAACAACACACTGCATTTCTGGAGGCGACTGTTGGCTCTGGCGCCTCTAGAAACTGTTGTATGCTTTTACTGCGTGCACATATTTCTGGATTGTGGTGGGACTAATTGTTTGTTCGCTAAATTTTCAAATGGGACAGCACGGGACCTTTCATCTGATTTGCATTGGCACAGGAACAGAGCAAGTATGGGGTGACCTGACAGCAGTAAAGGCGAAACCTCGACTAAGACTAAGTAAGATGACCAAAAAAAAAAGAAGAGGTCTAATCAAATTACACAGTATGAAGGTGTTACAATTACCATTTTTTAATCAGACAGTATAAAGTCTCTCAAATCACAACTCTTATGTTATCAACTCACACAGTTTATGAAATCACACAGTTTAAAGTCTATTAACTAAAGACAAACAGCAGGTAACTGCAAATATTGAAGATTAACGCTCCCAATCCTAAACTCTTGAACCCAAAGTTGTACTGTTGTCTAGAGGAATGACACAGTTCAGTAATAACTCTCTGGATACCAAACTACTCATGATGCGGCCCTTGGTCACAACAAAGATAGTCTAATGTTCCTGCTCTATTCTATCACAGAGAATTAAATGTAGCCTGTGAGGGGAAGTCAATAAGTAAGTCAAAAATGGTTGTCTAAAAAAAAAAAATACAGACGATAAGAACCTGAAGACCGTCTATTTTTACACATTCACTGTTCCTTTATTTTTCAACATAATTTCCACCAATAATGATGTACCCAAATCTGCTGCATAGAAGTGTGCTCTGTTAATTAAACCATATTTTCACTTCACATTCAACTACTGCGTCATTCGTGAACTGTCTCCCACCAAAGTGGGTTTTCAGTGGACCAAAAAAGTGGAAATCGCTAGGGGATGTTCCAGAAGTTCCCACTCTAGACGGTTAATTTTCTTCTGAGTTAACCGAGCCATATGAGTTCTGGCATTGTCACAAAAGAGCAGTACTCTTTTAGTCATCAGGCCTGGATGTTTTCTTCCAACTGCATCATGAAGCATCGATAGTACTGTCAATCAATCATGCATTATGCTGTATGCTGAACCATGTGAGCACCCTATTGCAGCTCCCACAGAGTCAACTGTTACTCGCCCGTCAACTTTAATCAACTCCTCCACCCACTGCATGGATGCGTCCTTTGCAATGTCAACTGGACAATGAGATTGGACTTCATTCACAATTTTTTTTCCCCAGCTATGCACAGCTTTACAGGGTCAACATTTGTCAGCATAAACAGGAGGCATTTCCTTATGAATTTCCTTTGCAAGCAGCCCTTTTGCTAAAAAAAAAAAAGCACAACAGCAAGTTGTTCTTTGAGGGCAAACTCCGTAAGTACAGTTTCTATTTTGTTTCTCAGCACTAGGGACATTACCATAAATGCCCCGTTTACCTCTTCAGCAGCTAGCGCAGATTATTATAATTTGAGATCCATCAATAGATTAAATTTATTTTTAGTTGACCTCACCTGTTAACTCTCAAAAGATCAACTGACTTTTAATTAACTTCTCCTGAACAAATCAACTCACCTTCAATTTAACTCCCCTGTGTGTCCGTAAGATCAAATAGTGAGATATGCCAGAAGAATTTTCAAACTTTGGAACTCTGACGGACAGGGCATAACAGCCGGGATGTGAGGAGCTGTCTCGCACGATGAAAGATCCAACTTCCTCCTGCTGCAGGATTTCCAGAGCAATGTCCCTACAAGCAAATAAATAAACTTAAACAAAGGAGACACAAACAACAGATTGCATTATTTACTGCCTTAATGCACATAACTGTGCCCCAGTATCTTGTCAGCTACCCAGCACAGTAACAATAGGAAACAATGAAGCTAATAAATAAATCCTTATAAATGAAATACTTCTTCTTCTTCGTGTTCACCGGCTGTAAACTCTAGCGAAAAGTTCTGGTTTTTTTTGGTCCACTTCTGGACTTCAGTGAGAATTTGAGTTTTGTGTGCACATCCATTTGACAAATTTGGCTTACTTGTATGCAGAGTGTTGGTTGGTTCCTTGCCTCTTAGGCAGATGCGCTCGAATGAAACCATAATTAGTCGACTCTTACAATATGCTTGTTAGCGAAGCAGTGGGTTCCTACCTTAGAGTAATGGCAGACAAGTTTCACCTCTTGCACAAAGCTCTAGACATAGCTAAGGGACACAGACTTAAAAGAGAAAAGTCCTAGATGGCATAGGCAGAAGATACAATTAGACCTGTATGCATGCTTGAAAATATCAGGTGCTGAGATGAGTGCATCAATTGTGTAGGGTTCTAATCCCATTTGGTCGGGAGTGCCAGGTTTCCTGGCAGGTGCTGCAGAATCAGAAATTCAACAACTGATTCATGACAATTCCCACCCAGGTGATGTCATTATCTACACTGATTGCTCTGTGTTGAGAGGCAGAAGACGTGCATAGGGATTTGTAGCAAAAGCTATTGGATGACCCTTAGAGCAACACAGCCTGGCATATGATATTACAACATCTACTTTGAGAATGGAGGTAGAGGTGGTCACTGCAGCCTTCCCTTGGATTGAAAATCAGCTGCACATACATGTTATGGTTGTAACTGGCTCGCAACGCATGCTGAGAAAGTTGGAGACAGTGATGCTTTGTGCAGAGTGACATGCGTCGCTTCAGAGTCCAGGGTACTTAGCATCCTTTAAATATTTTCTCCTGGGCATGCAGGCGAAAAGACTTGCTGGCACTGTGCCACTTGGCAGTAAATCTCTGCATGACAAGCTAGATGTTGTCTAGACTCTTTAAGAGGGAGTAAACAATGCAGAGGAACAATTTGATTATCATGGTGTGAAAAGAATGGTGACACGGGGAGCTGACCAAGGGATCTGGCTGACACTTCACACTAAGAAGAAATGCAGGACTGTTACTGATACCATTGGAGTTGGAACACGTGGCTGGCATCTTCTTCCCATGTGTGAGCTGTTTTTGTTTTTAGTCCTCCTTAGTTCCCTAGTCATAATTCAGCAATTACACTTAAAGCTGCTCACGCAGTCACTTCATGCCTGTTTTTATCACCAGTGAAAAATCATTACTGCAGTTCTATGTCTACACTGATGGTTTTAGAGCTGGAGACAGTGCCCATACTAGACCAGTAAATCAATGTTAGGATAATGAGCAGATTAACAAAAAGTTTGAGAGAACAGAAAGCTCAAGACAAAAATAAAAACTCTTTGTCTATCAGGCTTGTGTTCTCAGCCTTCTTCTCTAGGGCAGTTAAACTCGGTCAACTTATTTGCACCAGCAATAAGTTTTCTCACTTGATGCCTAAGAAGAAAACTTGGCCCTGGGTGGCCAGACAAAATCACAAATGCTGAGGGATTGGAAAGTGCTGGTATCTCTGAAGGCTCAGGTGGCTGGGTCACACTTGGAGAATGGAGGATAGTCCCTAAAGGAGTCCCTAAGGACATCCCCTATGGTGAATAACAAATGTGTAGAAGATTTTAAAGGGGCCTCTACTATAATATAAAGATGTGTGCAAGTGGGATGCGAATGATAAAAGTACTGAGGTTCATTTGTGGGGACAACATGCCATGGACAGTGTTGCGTGGACTGGGAAAATCAGGAACAGAATGGAGATAAGTTGAAAAAATTATTGCAGACAGATTTTGAGCAGAGAGTGTGAGAAGAAGCACACACAATAGATGTGATGGCAACAATGATCCATGCTCTAATTCAATGGAGACTTTTCTCAATATGGACTGATCTTGTCTGTCACACCCACCACTGCCTTGAGATGTGACTCCCAAACTTTCCCATAACACTTTCTCTGGAAAGACAGAAAGGTGCCAAAAACAATTGTACTGTAGAAATGATATTTACCGAGGTAACCCAGCCTGATACCATGAGGCATTACGTAATGTTTCATCTTGAATATGACTTCTATCCATACACATCAGAGACTCAAATCTGTAAAGACAATCATCCATATCAATGAACTACACCCATGAAGACAATCATACATATCAATGACATCAGCAAGTGAAGACAGTCATCATATATACAAATGAATTCAGCCTGTGAACACAATCATACATATCAATGAATTCAGCCTGTACAGACAATCATACATATCAATGAATTCACTGTGCAAAGACAATCATGTTTCAATAAATTCAGCCTGTGAAGAAAATCATATGTATCAATGAATTCAGCCTGTTAAGACATTCAAAAATATCAATGAATGCAGCATGTGAAGACATATATACATTACAGTGACTTTAGCCTGTCGAGTCAATCATACAAATCAATGAGCCTGCCGTGGAAACAGACTAAATCATACATGTCAAGGTACCCTGTTTAAGCATGACATTTCTGCATCTAACATCAAATCATACATGTCAAGGTCTCCTGTTCAAGCATGACATATCAGCATCTATCATCATGTGCAAATAAAAATGAGGAGGCAAGAGAAGCTTCGGGAACAGAGAGAAAGATGTATAATCCTTAGTTGAGGTTACAACATCTCAGCAGATGGGTCGCCCTATCACCATACCAAATGTACTTCACTGTCCCACTTCAAAACAAGTGAAAAATGTGTGTCCAAGTGAAGTTTTGAAGCTGGCAGGCAAAGTAAACGCATAGGCAATCAGATGTTTCAAGACTCCTCATGTGGGTTCTGGGGCCCTACTGTGGGGAACACAAGAACAGACCAACTGCCTTCTCTAAAGCATGTCGTAAGATCGACTAATTGAGAACTTTCTTTGAAGTCCGAGTTCATCTGCCTGAGGCAGATGTGTAGACAAAACTCAGATTCTGGAACAGGACTAAGGGTCCAGAAGTGGACGAACAACCAGGACGTGCTGCCGGAGTTTAGAGCTGGTGAGCGCGAAGCAGAAGAAGATGATATATCAGCACTAACAGTCCTATACCAGAACTGCAGCTCACCTTTGCTACAAGCAGTCAATTATAAGTTTGAATTATAAGTTTGAAATTACAAGTAGGAAATAGTTTGGAGGTGTTTTTTCAGATATATGCTCCGTGCAATGGAAATTACAGTGAAGAGGATTTAGATTTTTTCTTTGAGAACCTGGATGATGAAATTTGTAAGATAGATAATAACGAGAAACTGATCGTGATGGGTGATTTTAACGGTAAGACAGGACGAGACAGAAGAACATTCACAAGATACCTAGGCAATTATGGAGACAACAGCATTAGAAATGAAAATGGCGAAAGACTGTTGGATATATGTACACAACATGACCTTGTTATTACCAACACCTTTTTTCAACATAGAGCTTCACAAGTTTTTACATGGTATAAATGGAATGATCCAGATACCAAGAGTCAGATTGATTACATCTTGACGAGAAAAAGAGACTTTCATCAAGTTACAGATGCGAGAGTTATACCAAACTTGAGTTTAGATACAGATCATAGGATGGTGATCCTTGACAGAAAAATCAAGATAAGTTATCAAACCAAAAAGAAATGTAATAAAAGTGACATAATAAAATGGAAAGAACTAGAGTGTGAAGAAAACAGGCGAGCGTTTCAGCAAAAATTACAGGAAAATTATGAACAGCTTCCACAAAACACTCTTGGGGTAAATACAGAATGGTTGAATTTCAGAGACACCACTATGAAAATAGCACAGGAAATATGTGGAACTAAAAGGAAAGGTAACATAGGGCGTAAGCTCTCAACATGGTGGTCTGAAGAAATAAGAAGTATTGTGAGCAGTAAAAAGAAAGCTTATGGCATTTGGTTGAGGAGCAGAACAGAAGAGGATTACATAACATACAGGAAAATTAGAAGAGAAGTAAATAGAACTATCAGAAAAGCAAAAAGAGATTCATGGGAAAAGTTTGGAAGCAAGCTGGCTGAAGAAGAAAGATCAGCAGTGAAAAACTACTACAAAAAAATCAAAGGCATGAGAAAAAGGAATGAAGAATACAACCCAACAGAAATTATAAATGATGAAGTTGGCCAACCTTTAATAGAACCTACTAAAATCTTAGCAAGGTGGAGTAATTACTTTGAAGCATTACTTAGCTGCAGTAAAACAGATAAAAGCAGGGAAGAACATAAAAACAACTCGGAACTAACAGCAGAGGAACTAGAACCAGGTATATTATTGGATGAGGTAAAATATGCCATTCGAACCGCGCGTAGACTAAAGGCGACAGGTATTGATGATCTACCAGCTGAGGCCATCAAGGCAGCAGGAGAAACGGGAGCAATATGGTTAAAGAGAATATTTCAGGTGGCATGGGAAAATCAAGAAACACCATCAGACTGGCAAACTGCTGTCATTGTCCCGCTGTGGAAAAATAAAGGAAGTAAGAGGGAATGTACTAATTACAGAGGAATATCACTTCTCAGTCACACTGGGAAAATGTATGCTAAGATCATCGAAAAAAGGCTGAGACCATTGATAGAGTATCAACTTTCAGAAGCACAGATGGGCTTTCGACGAAACAGAAGTTGCACAGATGCCATTTATACATTGAGACAACTATCAGAGAGGGCAATAGAACATGATAAGACATGTTTGTTGACATTCATAGACCAAGAAAAAGCCTTCGATAGAGTCGACAGGAATATGTTGTGGGAATGTATGGGGAAAAAAGGAATCAGCAATCATCTCATTAATATTTGCAAAAGCCTGTACACACGTAGTGAATGCTGCATAAGATCAAAGGCAGGGTTGTCTAGAACTTTTATAGTGAACTCTGGTGTGCGTCAGGGCTGTGTACTATCGCCGCTTCTTTTCATAACATACATGGACGCCATATGTAGCGAAACAGACTTTAATCAGGAAGAAGATATAACAGAATTACTTTTCGCCGACGACCAGGTACTCATAGCAGAAAATATGGAATGCCTACAGAACCACCTAAATCAAATTAGTAACAAAGGGGAGGAATATAATATGAAAATAAACACTACGAAGACAGAGACAATGATGATAGGAAGACATAAAGACAATTTAGAAATTAAATTAAAAAACAACACCCTGAGACAAACAGACGAATTTAAGTATTTGGGAGCAATTTTTACTTCAGACGGAAAACTGGACAGAGAAATTAGCTCCAGATGTGCCAAAGCTAATCAAGTAATGGGCCAACTATCTCCCCTGTTGACACACAAGCAGATACCTCAGAGTACTAAAGTGAATCTTATCAGAACTATTTTTTGGCCAATACTATGCTATCAGTGCCAAACGTGGACACTTACATCCGCCAATGAACGTAAAATTGTGACAACAGAGATGAAATGCCTTAGAAGAACTGCAGGAGTTTCAAGGAAAGACAGAATACAAAATCATGAAATCAGACGAATGCTAGGAATAAAGCCAGTCTTACAGGTCATCAAAGAACAACAAATGAAATGGTTTGGACACCTAACAAGAATGCCCTGGTACTATCTGCCACAGCGAGCCACACTAAAACGTTACAACGGGTATAAAGCGAGTGGAAGACCTCGGAAAAGATGGAGTGATGGCATTAAGAACAGCCTTACAGAAATGAACATCAGTCTTAATAGTGCTCTTGACAGAGCTCATCAACGAACATTACATCTCCCCCCGACACTTCGATGAGGTACAAGGTGGAAGAGAAGAAGAAGAAGAAGAAAGAAGTCAATTATGGAAGCCAGCATTGTACACATCATACCGCAAAAGTACATGCCATTTCGAACGTTATCGGCCATCAGCCTCTTTTAGTGCAGTTCACAAGACAGAGTCAACTTGGGCACAACAGGAAAAAATGTCACACCCCATAAAATCCACAGCCCACAGTGTCACACCAAGCACTCAGCACAGTAGAACCTTTTGCCTTCCGGTCCAGAATTGGGGAATTTGCACAAGCAAGCCGTGGCTGGAAAGAAATAACTTTTCACAGCATTAACAGTATGCTGACAATATGTCACAGGGGAGTAGAAGTCAGAAGTATGTTCTTGTGGCTTACACAACTGGGTAACAAATAATAATATAAACAGACTGCAGTCCCTGTCAACTGGTGTAAAAATCCACATTTTTATAGACCAATAGGCGGCACTCAAAAGCTATCTTTTCCTCCAAGAACTCTTCTGGAACCTATTTCAGGCTGGGCTTGGCATGCAGATGAACCAATAATTAACAACCCCGCTATTACCGAACCAGTTCTGTCCGCGGGGCTTACCTGTATACTGATGATGGATCTGACTTGTGGTCTTCCGGTTTCCTAGCCCTGGATCCACCAGAGAACCACTTGAAAATCCTTAGGTCATAGTAATACGGCATTGTTGTTTATCAGCATCGTGAGCTGAGCAGTAACAGTTATCTGAGTCAATTTGTCCACACGATGGCACAAAGAAAGTCTAGACAACTAGTGATTAACAGAGATCACAGGACCATCTTACTTTACCTCTGGTATCATTGCATAGTTTATTAAAGTTGTATGTATGTGTGTGAAAACTATATTCTAAAGTCAAATACTATATATACTCTAGAGTCAAATACTGTACTATGCTCTAGAGTAATCGGGATATGTAAAAACAAATATACGTAAGGAGATGATTTCTTTGCATATTAACCAATAAAACAATTTTACATCAGTAACTGAACTTTTATCACGGTTATAGAAATAGTTTAAACTTTTCACTTATCAGAAGCCACAAGTGGCTGAACAAACGAGTTGTTACACAACTGTCTTAAAGGAAGAGGGAACAACTGCAGATGCATCGAAAATCAAGGATAACATTGTTAGAATCAACAGAAAGAAAGCACTAACACACAAAGTCGCAGTGTCCAGTTTTCATCAGGATGTAACAACTGGACACAGCAGTTTTCATCAGGATGTAACAACTGGACACAGCAGTTTTCATCAGGATGTAACAACTGGACACAGCAGTTTTCATCAGGATGTAACAACTGGACACAGCAGTTTTCATCAGGATGTAACAACTGGACACAGCAGTTTTCATCAGGATGTAACAACTGGACACAGCAGTTTTCATCAGGATGTAACAACTGGACACAGCAGTTTTCATCAGGATGTAACAACTGGACACAGCAGTTTTCACTGCAGAACACTGACACACAGAGAGCCGCGGTAGCGTAGAGGCTAGAAGATCGCCTGCTGGCTAGAAGTTTGCCTGCCGGCCCGAAGGTCTGGGGTTCGAATCTGTACCGAAGCGCATTTAGATCGTCTTAGATACCAAGTCGACCCGGCCATGGGTACAAAGTAACGTCATAGGAAGCAAAAGTGGCCGGTGTGATGGCGGTACAATCACCCATCGAGTACCGACTGGCTTATAAAAAATGAGTCTGATGCGCCACTAGTTAGAACGACTAAACTGGGAGCAATGATGCCGTACAGTTTACACCAGTGTTTTCCTATTGTGAGAGCTAACATCTCACTGGAGGTGCTGCCAACAATTCGAATTGTATGTAACCCTGAGTCAAAGCTGGGGTGAGAGGGGCGTAAGGAATCTCTCAGACCAGTTCCCACAGTGGGTGCTACCGCCCTTTTGGGGTGCTTAGATGGTTGAAGGGCGTAGCTGCATCAGTTGTGTGCTGGAACGGGCATTTTTTCAGCATCGGGTGGTCTAAATATTCAAATAAAACGTTAGAAGGGACAGCAGCTGCATCGCTCATATTTAGAGGCAACAGTCCGAACTACAACCCTGAGTAGTTGAGGGGTGGTAGCTTCGTCGGTCAAATTTGTGGGGCGGCGGAGCGAGCCCGGGTGGGGAGGGGGGGGGGGGGGGGGGTACAGTAAGAGCCTTATTTTCCCCTTCATTATTTCGGACGAAGCCGGGCAATTAAATCTTGTCATATCTAAATAAATGTAGCTGTACCACTGTGCCAGATGTCAGCGCGTGTGACGTGCACGCCTGATGACGTGGTTTTGTAAATCGATAACGTTAACGGCGATGACAGGCGAGATGGCCGGCTTTATTACGACGAGTTTGACCTCACATGGCTCAGTCTCTCCATACACAACGTTTGGTCACCAGCGTCTAATCTGTGGATGTCGTACCTACAGCTGCTCCCTAGTTTAGGACGTACACAAAATATACCCACCGCCCTTTAATAGACTTGTAAAAGAGGATTAATAAGCGGTTTGATGAAATCGAATGTGTTCGGCCGAAAAGCGCAGGTATCGCAATTTAGCTGTAAACCACAACCGAAGTACCTTCAGTCCTTTAAGGGTGAAGCTGAAAGTACCCGCAGTCTCACCAACAACATGAAATAACACACACTTCAAACGGGTGAGAAATATGCGCACACACTTCTTATACACACCAGCTCTTGTGTACGGAATCACCGACTACAACCGTTATTCATTAACAAACGGCCTACACCGACCATCATGTCTCATGGATGTCAGGAACAATGACTGATTACATGTGCTCGCGTATCGATCACACTAGCAGCCCGTTCACAATTAACACTCTCAGTAAAGAGAGATCAATATTACTGGCCCGTTCACAGTAAACTCTATAAACTATTTATAGATTAACATTTACCGGCCTGTTCACGGCAAACTCAATTCCAGGGTGCTGAAACCAATATTACAGACCTGTTCACAATAAACTTCCTTAAGTCTGTATCAAAGTACATGTCCTTTTTCTTACACCAGGCGTGCATTAGGGCATACGATGGACGTCTGGACCAATCAGCACTCTGGGTGATATGGTCGAAATCACAACGATCTCCTATGTTTTCAGCGACATTACCCGGTAGCCATTTTAGGCTTGGTCAGCCACTATGCTAATGGGAAAACAATCATCTCCAATTCGATTCGAACCCAGGACGTTCGGACCGTTAATGAGCGTTTAGTTACTAATGTAGCTGGCACTCTTAGTGTAGAGTGACTAATATTATCTGCCTGTTCACAGTAAACTCACTCTTAAACATGAATAAACATCGAAAACATTAAAGCATTGTTCATAATAATTGCACTCTAATGTATTGAGACAAATATTACCGACAATAAAAACAAGAATGACTCCACAGGGGAGCATGTCCAGCAGGAGTCCACCGATCATCAGTACATGGGAGCATGTCCAGCAGGAGTCCACCGATCATCAGTACAGGGGAGCATGTCCAGCAGGAGTCCACCGATCATCAGTACAGGGGAGCATGTCCAGCAGGAGTCCACCGATCATCAGTACAGGGGAGCATGTCCAGCAGGAGTCCACCGATCATCAGTACAGGGGAGCATGTCCAGCAGGAGTCCACCGATCATCAGTACAGGGGAGCATGTCCAGCAGGAGTCCACCGATCATCAGTACATGGGAGCAAGTCCAGCAGGAGTCCACCGATCATCAGTACAGGGAAGCATGTCCAGCAGGAGTCCACCGATCATCAGTAGAAGATCTCTCGTCAACAATTGTTGCAGCCCATTACCTCTTAGACAATTTCAGGGAGGGGGCCGACCTGGGTCATGACCCGCAGGTCTCGATCTTCTCCTGCTGCACCTTACTTATTCTAGTATAATACCATGAGAATAGTGTCTACAGATCTATCTCGCAGTAATACAATCCCAGTATATAAGTTGAGTTGAGTCAAGAACTGACATCACAGGACTCGGGGCATTCCCATGCATGCTCCGTCCTCATCTTTAGCAGCCAGCGCAGAGTTCCAATACTGATGGTACCGGTAACATTGTGGTTAAATGTCCGTCTTGCTTTTCCTCTGAGCGTAGTGTGCCGGCTAGACCCTCTGGTTACACCCAGGTGCCTCATTCTCTCCAGGTAATAATAATCTTATTTCTCTACTGATTCTGTTGCTTGTTCCAAAGGGCCTTGACCACATCCGCCTTGTCATGAACCAATTCACCACCCAGTGGTGAGGATCCAGCCAATCTGTCTGCCTGTAATTACCCATCACGTCGGCATAGCCTGGAAAAAAGATCCAAAGTATGCTCACTACCCGTGACCTTTCCATTGAAGCTTGTCACTCTGCACGAAGCATCCCTATCTTCACCCTTTTTAGCAAGCTTTCAGAGTCTGTTACAATTACGACATGTGTTCTCTAGCCACCGGAGAGCTGCAGTTACCGTCTCCACCTCCATTCTCATGCTAAATGTTGTGGTGTCATATGCTAGGCTGTCCTGCACTAAAGATTTTCCATTGGCTTTCGCTACAAACTCCCAGACACTTCTCTTTCCTTTCAACACTGACCCAATATCTAAAACACCGATAAGACCATTTGCCGCATATGGCTTTGAAACCTCGAGTATAAATAAAAGAAGCGACGCTTTATTACAAACTTCATAGAATAAGAGTTTTATGACGAATCCTTGGATCCATTAAAGATGCATACAGTGGAGAGTGAGAAGCTATAGCAAAATTCATAATCTAATAAAGAGGTAAAAGATACTTCAGTGGTTGGGACACAAACACACACACACACATATATATATATATATATATATATATATATATATATATAGAGAGAGAGAGAGAGAGAGAGACAGACAGACAGACAGACAGACAGACAGACAGAGACAGAAAACAAGAGACAACACTTGGAGTCACCAACTGGAAAATGTAGGCCAGTTGCAGAAATGAATGTGATATTTGCAGCTGTGAATCCCAAGGACTTGGAAGGCTGAAGAAGAAGATGGGTAAAGAGAGCGCTTCCAAAGGCTGATAGGATGACTAATGCGGAACTCGGTGGGGGTGGGGGAGGGGGTTCGCTATCAACAAGAATCGTAATAATAAGGAGTATATCAAAGAAATAAGAATTAGCTTTCATAAAAATCTCAAAAGTATATTTTAAAAACACATACACTAATGATTTGTGAAACAGTACATCACCATAACACTAACGATCTTTTCACACAAGTCCCAAAACCCTAATGATCTTTTCACACAATTCTTAAAACCTTAATGATCTTTTCACTCAAGTCCCAAAACCTAATGATCTTTTCACACAAGTCCCAAAACCCTAATGATCTTTTCACACAAGTCACAAAACCCTAATGATCTTTTCACACAAGTCCCAAAACCCTAATGATTTTTTCAAACAAGTCCCAAAACCCTAATGATCTTTTCACACAAGTCACAAAACCCTAATGATCTTTTCACATAAGTCACAAAACCCTAATGATCTTTTCACACAATTCTTAAAACCTTAATGATCTTTTCACTCAAGTCCCAAAACCTAATGATCTTTTCACACAAGTCCCAAAACCCTAATGATCTTTTCACACAAGTCACAAAACCTTAATGATCTTTTCACACAAGTCCCAAAACCCTAATGATCTTTTCACACAAGTCCCAAAACCC